GCCGGGTGAACGGTGTTGGGTGCCGGGGTCCGGCTGTGGGGCCGGGAAGTCCCCTCCACCTTGCCGTCTGTTATGGAGCTTGAAGCACAGGGCTGGGCCCTATCTCGTTGTCCCCTCCGGAGGGGTGCAGCCTAGAAGGACTTTTTGAAGCTCTGGCGACTCCCCTCAATGCAGCTTCCTTTAAAAGAACCCACTTCATTTCGGATTTCAGGAGCCAAGAATTCTTAAACGGGGCCAATTTGCTCTGTCAATTGCCCAAGTGACCTTACTTGAAAAATGAGTAACTTCCTGGATAACTGTTCCAAAAAAACCGCTTTTATTAATTCGGGGAGTCTGGCCACCAACTTGAGGCACAGGCGGCAATGGGATTCCAGCCCTGGAAGGTCCTATAGTTTTATTGATGCGAAACTGCAATAGAAAGTTAAACTGCCTTAGAAGTCAACCTAGATTTTAGTACCAACTCTGCTACACATCATTTCATGTGCTCAGCCTATTATTCATCCTTCCTTCCCTCCTAACGCCTGACAGCCACGACCTTTTTACTGTCCCCATAGTTTTGCCTTTTCCAGAATGTCATATAGTTGGAATCACATAGTTGGTAGCCTTTTCAGATTGCCCTCTTTCACTTGGTAATAGTCCTCCACATCTTCTCATGGCTTGATAGCTCATTTCTTTTTAGTGCTGAATAATATTCCATTGTCTGGATGTACCATAATTTGTTCATCCATTCATCTACTGCAGGATATCTTGGTTGATTCTAAGTTTTGGCAATTATGAATAAAACTGCTATAAACATTTGTGCAGGTTTTTGGGTGGACTTAAGTTTTCAACTCCTCTGGCTGAATACCAAGGACTTTGATTGCTGGATCATATGGTATGAGTATGTTCAGTTTTATAAGAAACTGCCAAAACTGTCTTCCAAAGTGGCTGTACCATTTTCATTCCCACCAGCAATGTTTGAGCGTTCCTGTTGCTCCACATCCTCACCAGCATTTGGTGTTGTCAGTGTTCTGGATTTTGGCCATTCTAATAGGTGTGTAGTGGTGTCTCATTGTTGTTTTAATTTGCATTTCCCTGATGACATATGATGTGAGCATCTTCTCATGTGCTTATTTGCATCTGTATATCTTCTTTGATGAGGTGTCTGTTAAGATCTTTGGCCTATTTTTTAATCAGGTTATTTGTTTTCTTGTGGTTGAATTTTAAGTGTTCCTTTGCATGTTTTGGATAACAATCCTTTATCAGATATATGTCTTTTCCAAATATTTTCTCCCAGTCTGTGGCTTATCTTCTAATTCTCTTGACATTGTCTTTTGCAGCAGAAGTCTTTAATTTTAATGAGGTCTAGGTTATCAGTTATATTTTTTCATGGATTATACCTTTGGTGTTGTATCTAAAAAGTCATCACCAACCCCAAGGACTTCTAGATTTTTTCCTGTTATCTTCTAGGAGTTTTATAGTTTTGTGTTTTACATTTAGGTCTATGATCCATTTTAAATTAATTTTTGTGAAGGGTGTAAAGTGTGTGTCCAGATTCATTTTTTTGCATGTGGATGTCCAGTTGTTTGAGCACCATTTGTTGAAAAGACGATCTTCTCTCCATTGTATTGCCTTTGCTCCTTTGTCAAAGATGAGTTGCCTATATTTATTTGGGTCTATTTCTGGGCTGTCTATTATGTTCCGTTGATCTATTTGTCTATTCTTTTGCCAACACCACATTGTTTTGATTACTGTAGCTTAATAGTGAGTCTTTAAGTCGGATAGTGTCAGTGCCCAACTTAGTTCCTCTTCAATGTTGTATTGGCTCTTCTGGGGATTTTGTCAATATCTACAAAATAACTTGCTGTGATTTTGATTGGGATTGCATTGAATCTATAGATCAAGTTGGGAAGCACTGACATCTTGACAATATTGAGTCTTTCTATCCATGAGCATCGAATATCTCTCCATTTATTTAGTTATTCTTTGATTTCGCTCATTGGAGTTTTGTGGTTTTCCTCATACAGATCTTGTATATATTTTGTTAGATTTATACATATTTCATTTTGTGGGATGCTAATGTAAATAGTATTGTGTTTTTAATTTTAACTTCCACTTGTTCATTTCTGATATATAGGAAAGCGACTGACTTTTTATGTTAACCTTGTAGCTTACAACCTTGCTATAATCACTTGTTAGTTCCAGGAGTTTTTTTAGTTGGTTCTTTCAGATTTTCTACCTAGACAATCATGTCATCTATGAACAAAAACAATTTTATTTCTTCCTTCCCAATCTGTATACCTTTTACTTCCTCTTCTTGTCTTCTTTTCTTAGCTAGGACTCCCAGTGTGATGTTGAAAAGGAATGGTGAGAAGGGACATCCTTGCCTTGTTCCTGATCTTAGCAGGAAAACTTTTAGTTTCTCACCATTAATATGATGTTAGCTGTAGGGTTTTTGTGGATGTTCTTTAGCAAATTGAGGCACTTCCCCTCTATTCCTAGTTTGCTGAGAGTTTTTATCATGAATGGGTGTTGGATTTCATCAAATGCTTTTTCTGCTCTGATAAAACCATAATAAGTTAGGCTCTGGTAAAATAATTTCTCCAGAGGGCAGGCCTTGTTAAGTAGAACAGAATGCTCTGGCGTTATTTCAAAATGCTTCCTTTTCCCCTCCCCCTGCCAGAAACATGAGGGGATTTTTCTCTGATATTCACTGTAAGAACCAGGTAGAGCTTCAGGAAGTAAAACTCACAGAAGGGTAGCGACACCACCACTCCCCGCCCCCTCCCCGCCTCGCCCCAGGACACTGGTTCTCCGTGGAGTTTTTAACTTTCAGACTTGTCCACACTGAGCCTTCAGCAATTCCTCAATTACAGTTCAGTTTTTCCTACCCTCTCCTGGTTCCCCCGGAGGTTTCTGCTGTGGTCAATTGTGCTTCTCTGTATCTGTCTGTCTGTTTCTCCAATGGAGACCTGTGACCTCAATTCTCTGATGGATCTAAGAAGAGTTGTTGATTTTCAGTTTGTTCAGCTTTTTATTTGTTAGGACAGAGTGACAACTTTTAAGCTCTTTACATGTAAGACCAGAAACTCCAATTTCTCATTTTTTAAATAAATATTGCATTAAGAATTTTTTTGACAATTCCAGTTGCTACTGCCTTAGCTGAGCAAAGTTTCTCCAAGTTAAAATGAAGTTTAAAAATTCCAAGAGCTACAGGGGCCAGCCCGGGGGTGTAGTGGTTAAGTTCTTCAGCTCCGCTTCGGCGGCCCTGGGTTCGCAGGTTCGGATCCCGGGTGTGGACCTACGCACCGCTAGTTAAGCCATGCTGTGGTGGCATCGCGCGTACAAAAAACGAAAAATGGAGGAAGATGGGCACAGATGTTAGTTCAGGGCCAATCTTCCTCATCAAAAAAATAAGTAAATAAAATTCCAAGAGCTACAATAATTCAGGAATGTTATGTAACTTGGCATTATTGTTAATAGAACACTGATTATATGAAAATCTTGACTATGACAACATAATTAAGTGATTTTGCCAAAACAAAGGGAAGAAAATAAATTTTATGGAGTAATTATATAATTTATATATTGTGTAAGTTTTTATTGCTTATCCAAACCTTTCCAGCTGTCACCAGACTATTCAGACACACACAATAATAAAGTTATTCATCTTTGATAGTTTGCCCATACTCATTAAAATATAGCTTTACACAGTTAAAGAAATTTTATCTTGAGATAAAGGTAGGAGGACAGACATATTTTATTTAACAGTTTGTTTAGTTTGATTTATGACTTTTAACTATGTAGACATATAGTATGGTGTCTTCCTTTGTACTCTTCTTGCCTGGGTCCTGCACATATAAGGGGGGTAACCTGCTTGTGACCACTGACCTGATGCCTAGGCAGTGGGGGCTTGAGGAGCAAACAGCAGTGAGGAGACTTCAGCTGGAGCAGGCTGGGCTGAGCAGAGACACAGAAGAGAATGCAAGGAAAGAGAGGAACTTGGGCTGCATGGCTCTTCCTGCCTGAAGTTCTCTCCCAAACTCTTCTTTGCCTAGACCTTGAAAGCTCTACCTATCGCTCTAGTCCCTCCAAGTGACATGTATGAATTTGATGGCTTATTGACTTTATTTAGGGGAGTCTATGAACACAATACAGAGGATAGCCTTTATTTAAAAACTAACTTTCACTTGAAGTACATTAACTGTCGCTCCCTGCTCTAAAAGCTAATTGCTGCAGTGTTTGTAACATGGCGATTAACCTTTCACTGTGGTTGTATCCATTATGGTTGGCTAGAAATAATACACCTTCTAATTACTACCTCCAGTATTACTGGAAAATAAAAATTTCAGTGCAGTAGTAACATGACACTGCAGGAAAGAGCCACATATTTTAATGACAGTTTAATGTATAAGATTGTCTCCTTGGAGCTCTGGTATTGTCATTTGCAAATAAAGAGATTCATAATGCTAAAGAAAAACAGCTTCAGCTCTGCTAATGCTCTGAGTTACATTTTGTGTCTGTGAGTTTACCCTACTTGGTTTTGTGTTTAGTGGCTTTAATACCTATCATCTGGTCATCTTTAATATTTAATATTTTGTCCTTTTTTCCAGCAAAGCAGCCATTAAGTCAAATATTAGAACTAGTGTTTTCCCTAAAGCTTTTTAGCATCTAGAAAAGGGCTTCTTGCCTCAAATTTACTGATTTAGATAATAACTAAATTAATTTCCTTTGATATGCAAAACCAACTTTACACCTCATTGTGCATGATGGGCTGCTAATGACTATGTGATTTTAAAAATTGCTTTAGGGGCCAGCCTGGTGGTGT